GTGTGCGCGTATCTGTGTATGTGTGTGCTTGCCGTGAGAGTGTGTTTGTGCATGAATATGAATGTATGCGCGTGTGTTTGTGTATGTGTGTGTTTGTAAGTGTGTGTATGTGCTTGTAAGTGTATGTGTGTGTTTGTAAGTGTGTTTGTATGTATATGTGTGTGTTTGTGTATGTGTGTGTTTGTAAGTGTGTGTGTGTATGTGTGTGTTTGTAAGTGTGTGTGTGTGTGTAAGTGTAAGTGTGTCTGTGCCTGCGTGTGAGAGTGTGTCCCGCCTTACTCACAACCTTGTTCCCCAACACACAGATTCCACTTGCACCCAAGTGCCACCCTGCACCACACCCAGCTTACAGCAGCGCAACTCGGCTATGGTTGCCTGCTCCTTTCTGCTCGCCCGTGAGCGCGTGAGTGGCACGAGCTACAGCGCGGCTGCGCTTACGTAGCATGCAGCCAGCACCCGAATGCCTAATGTGGAGGCAGGCCCTTTGCTATATTGAAGTGGCCTGCCTGTGTTCAGTCCCAGAAAGGTTTCATTAGGCCCCGGTAGCCTGAGGCACAACACGAACGAGAACAGGCCTTGGGCCTGAGGTGGTTGCATGCCCCCGACTGCCTTTGGCCTGTGTTTGGTCCAATACCCATATCCAGCCCAGGGCCTGTTTTCCATACATTCACACAAGCGGCCCAGGACCTGGGTTCCCTCAACCAACTGACGCCAGACTCATGCAACCTGCTACAGGCCCAATTTTGTGTGTGTGTGTCTTTTTTTCCTTTTTTTAATTTGCTTTTTATGGTTTTGATTTTTTTTAAATACACGAATTTCCAAAAAAATAAAATAAAAAATAAATTATTATACATCTTTGAAATATCTACAACCCTATATTTTTTATTTGTTTTTTTTGTTTTCGTGTTATCCCTTAAAAAATMTGTGTGAAACCCTAAACAAAAACACTCATTTGATTTTAGTTTTWGTTTTTTCATTGTGTGTCTATGTTTTGTATTTTAAAAAAAATAGATTTAAGCATAAAAAAATAAAAATAAAAATACAGGGTTGTAGTCCTCAACTAAACCTACAGCCCCATATTTTTTTTAATTTTTTTTGGAGAATGTTTAGTCCAGCAAAAAAATCATCCCGGACCCCGTTAATTCCCGTCCAACTCACGTTTGAACGGGAGTTTAACGCGAATTCAACGCAAGTTGAATTTTTCAACGTGAAACCTGCGTTAAATCCAATTTCGGACACATAGACGATGTGATGAGCACAATCATATGAATCTACGGCTACAACGTGGAAATATACACTGCCACACTTTTTTTGTTTTGTTTTTTTTTTCTGTTTTTTTTTTATGTGTGTGTGTGTGTATGAGAGAGAGAGAGAGAGAGAGAGAGAGAGAGAGAGAGACAGACTATAAGTCTCGAACCTCGGCCAACAGCTAAGTCTCCAACCCCATGGGTCGGATTTCAACTTAAGGGGGGTCAAATTAATTTCGGGGTGCCAA